TACTGACTACTACTACTACTACTACTACTACTACTACTACTATTACTACTACCACCACCACCACCACTACTACCACTAGTAGTAGTAGTAGTCGTCGTCGTAGTAGTAGTAGTCGTCGTCGTTGTTGTTGTCGTGTCTCGACCACTGTAGGCGTTCTTGGAAGCCATCTCGGTCTTACCCTTGGGGCCAGCCACACCCGCACCGAGACTTCTGTCCTTCTCGCAGAGACGCTTGCCAAATCGAGCCTCCACTTGGCAAACGTCGGTGTTGATGTGTGGACGGACAACCCAGACAGCTGCGGTAATGACCGGTAATGATGTCATGAGATGATCGAATCGCGCCGGAGCATCGCACACCCTTTTGGACTAACCTGACTGTTGCCATCTGTTGCCCTCCCACGGCAATAGGTTAATAGCGGAACTCCGAGATACTGATAAGTGTCTGCATGTGCAGTGTAAGTAAGTGGCAGCGGTTTTTGGTATTGCTTGATCAGCCTCTTCCTCGCTCAAGCCTAGAATCTTGTGGGAGTCCCGAATACTCAATGCAAGGACTGCGCAAGCACAGCCTGAAGAGAACAGTCAGCACGGCCTTAGACCAGGGGAAGAGCGCGGCTCAAGGGAAATGGAAAAGCTTCCGCGCCAGAAGATCGTACCCCACTGGCTGTACCAACAAAGAGAACATCATATAACAGCATGTACGGTAGGAACATCACCAGACCCAATCCCGATGGGCAGATTTATGACCCAACTCTTCCCCGGCATACTGGGTGGACTTTTCAAGATTGGAGGGACTGCGAGGGTGGACCCACCAGGTTATGTTGGGTTGGAAGTTGAAAGGGTGCAAAGGGGTTAGCTGCGCTGGCTGACCGTGCTGACAGCGAAGGTTACGTCAACTTCTTTGCATTTATTTCCCTTCCGGCGGCCCGTTGGTGCTGCAAGCCACCCTTCGGGGCGTAGGCCACTGCGCTGTAAAGCACACACACACACAGCAGGTTATGATGCGAGTTCATCGTGCATTTCTGCCTTCATATAGTCTTAGTCTGAGCTCCTGATTCCAGGTCCGGGCTTCCCTGCCACAGCTCGAGGCACGCCTTCAGCAGGTGCCCCGCATTTGCTGTTTGAAGCGTCGCACGTGGTCGCTGTGGTCATTCTCTCTGTCTAGTAGTGAACTGTCTCTGCATCTTTCGTCGCGGCTCTTCTCACGCCAGGAGCTGGAAGCAGATGCCCTCAAGCGCGTTTCGGCGGATCGACATCAGATGGCTCCCTGGCTTCCATACCGGCCTGGCATCCTGTGTGCTGTTCCTGGCATGTGAAGCAGGAAGAGGCGGTACGGAGGCGGCTTGAGCTGGAAGCTGATGACAAAGCCAGGTCTGGGCTGTTGCCAGGAACAGGAAGCACGTGGAAGCACCATTGCATCTCCAAAGAGATGAAAAAAACGGCATGTATGTTGCGTATCCTTGACAGGAGAGGTCTTCCAGACATGGAAAGAACCGCACGGGAGAAGCTCCAGAAACAGGCGAGATCTGGACCGGGCACGTGTTGCCAAGCTATCGCTTGCATTTGCATAAGTTGATTGTGTGCCTGAAGGCTGAAGACACGGCCGCGGCCATCGACAAGGTCGCTATTGCGGCCGAGGTACGGCCTTTTCACAAGAGAGTCTGCGAGTGTTCGCTCAGATGATGCCCATCAGCTGGGTGCAGCACGCACCTAGGAGAAGGTACGGGCAACCGCCTCCAGCATTGAGGCTGAGATCAGAGAGCTCTTGGCCGGCAGAGACCACTACCCCGGTTTCCATGCAGATGTGGTCAGCTCTCCCCGTTTGCGGGTACCCCAAACCACATCGGGAGTTCCTTCTGAGGATCCTATACTGTTTAGAGTCTAGACAGTCCGGAGGGGTTTCAGTACAAAAACTCTGCGAGCCTAGGCGTTTGCGGAGAGAGTCGGAAGACCGAAAGGCTGAGCTCCCTGCGCCTTGGACGAAAACATTCGGGGGTTGGAAATTTGCTGTGGGCCTTGGAAGCTATGATCCTTTGTGACATGTAAACGACATGGCATGATAGGCATGCATATGCATACACCTACTTATATCTACCTACTTACCTACCTACCTACCTGCCTGCCTGCCTGCCTGCCTGCCTGCCTGCCTGCCTACCTACCTACCTACCTACCTACCTACCTACCTACCTACCTACCTACCTACCTATATACATACGTACATACGTCACTGCATACTTACAGACATACTTGTGTATATGTATGCATGCATACTTACATGCATGTATTCATACATGCATGGGCATTTTCGGTTTCTTGCTTCAGATTGGGAAGGATCTCGATCTAGTTTTGTTTGTGTGCGTATAAATAAAATACACAAAGCCAGGTCTGTACAAACAAGCTGAAAGTTGAAGAAATGTTCACACATTTTTTTAAAACGCACACACACACACACACGCTCGCATTCCTTCGTTTCTTTCTTCCTTCATTCATTCCTTCTCTCTTTTTAAGCCCATTATGGCTTGGCAGCATAGGGCCTCAGGGTAGAAGACAGTCCATCTTTAATTTTTGTTGCTGTTTTCGGCGAACCCACATGGCAAGCAAATCCCAAGCCGCTGCCGCTTCCCAGCTCCCAGCGTCGGACGTGCGAGGTCCTGGACCGAGAGGAACGCGAGCGGATTCGCAAGGAAGTCGAACAGCGTGAGGCTCGGCTGGCCCAGTTCGAAGCTTTAGGGTCTCAAGGCGGCCCACAGCTCAAGGCATGATGCCGACCCAATCCCTGCAAGGGCCAAATCATATCGCTCTTGTCTTATGGTCTGAGATAGCCTGTGGCCTTCTTTCTCATCACGACCTCGCTTGCAGGAGCTGAAAGTTCGTGAAGCCGCCGTGATGGACAGACAACACCTCCTGGACGCGACTCGGCGTACGTCCTCGGAGCCTGATTTTTTGTGCGGATCGTCTTCGTTACTTCGTTTAACTCGCCATGTGGCTGCTCTCCACAACCTGTACCCCGTACTAACACGGAGCCTCAGCACCGGCTTGAGGCAGGCATCAGTGAGTTGATGCCACCTCGTGGCTAGTGTGCAGTGACATAGGCAGTCAAAGCCCCTGTAGTCCGATTCTGGATTCACGTCTTGCAGTCGCCCACCGAACAAAAGCTCTGCGACAGCGTGTCTTGTACTGCTTCTGAACTTTTCAGGAGAGGGAGGAGGTCTTAAAGGGCGCAGAGAGACTTCTTCGCCGCCGCGAAGTTGAGATAGAAGGCACCTCGCAACAATTTACTCATCTGCATTTGCTTCTTTTGTCTGTGTGCCGGATGAGATCTCAGCAAAAAAGGCCAAGCGATTCGCTGGGCGCAGATGCAGACGTCGCCGCCGCCTCGAAACGACGGGGCCTCTGGCCTCGCCGGTACTTGGCCGAGCCCGGCCGCGCCGGTCGAAAGTGCTGTGGAGCGCGGGAGCCCTGGACTCTCTCAACTTCATGGGCGGGGAGAGGTCAGTATAGGTCAGTGCACCCCTTCCGCAAGGTCCAACACTTGCAGTCACCACTCAAGCGGGCACTGCTGCGGTGCAAGGCAGCGCTGGCAAGTGCCTGTGCTGCGCATAATTAGACGACTATATAATATACATACAGTGTACACATGTCTAAGTTTTTCACAAAGGGCCTTCGGGTCAAGGTGTCAGGTTCGCGAGCCATGACGCGGATTTTGCCTCCAGCCCAATAGTGTATCGATGTCCTCTTTGGCGGACAGGCAGGGGATGCTTCGAATGCTTTCATTCGACTGTGTGCTTGAGGATCGGAACCGGAACTGTCGAGTCGCTGGACCTGTCGCCGCAAGATGCCTCTCCCGGAGAGGTCCAAGGCTCAGCAACAAAACCTTGGAAACCTGCAGACTCTGGATGCGAAGCTTGATTCCCTGCACAGAGCACGACGGAACGGCATTCCAGTTTCGCCCAGGAGGCCAAGGGCGAAGGCGTGGAGGCCGCGCCACAGTCCACGAATCCGCCCGGCGAGGCCCGATCTCGCGGGTTTAGGGGTTTAGGGGGTTTAGGGGTTTAGGGTTTAGGGTTTAGGGGTACACGGAACAGATCATCTTGGAGCTCTCAGGCTGCACCTCTTCAGGAGTTGGACGAGGAGATCGAGGAGATGCTTGCATCCGTGGTCACCATGAAGCCCCAGGTGCACCGAATCTACCCATTCATGTGTGGTTGGCTGCCAAACAGCGTCTTCGTTCTCTTGAACTTATAGGGCATCCTGAAGAGGATGGGTCCTCAAATATGCATGCCTTCAATGATCGGCAGGCGCAGGCGGAGAGGACAATTGACCCTGCAAATGTCAAAGCCTCAAAACTGGCGCAGAATGCATATCTTAAACATTCTGTGACCACCAGCGCACTTCTGCGCAAGTTAAAATGGATGATGTGGGACAGCGCTGGCCTTTTGCACATGCGCTGCGTGACCTCTCAAGAATTTTTGCAGGAAAGCAGGGCAATTTTTCCACACTAGACCCTTTTTCGCATCATGAGCTCCGAAGGTCGCTTGGCCGTTGCCGGCGTGTTGGCTGGAGCTGCCTCCATGGCTTGTGCTTCAGCCTTCGTCGGCTCCGCCCCTCACGCCTCAAGCAGCCCATCCTTGCGTGCCAGCGCAGGCTCAGCCAAGACCGCCGCGGTTCCGTCGGCTGGTGCTTCTGCTTCTGGCCTCGCGGCAGGGCTTGTCGGAACCGCTGGTATGGTTCAGATGGCGAAGATGGCAAAGAACCGAAAGCGCACTCGAGTGCCCCGCTTCCAGCAGGCTCCAAGGCAGGCGGCAGTGGCAGAGCCCAAGACGGACCTGTCCGGCGCTTTGCCCGATTGCCCTGCAACAATCTGGAATGCAGAGGACATCGACGTGCAGAACCTGCCAGCCATCAAGCAGACCGCGCCTCTCATCATCGATGCTGCTGAGCTGGGGGATGAGCTCAAGAAGGGAACGGAGAAAGAGTGGTTCCTCTCGCAGCGGGAGAAGATCATGCAGCAGTTGCAAGATCATGGTGCGATTTGGTTCCGGAACTTCGAGTCCACGAAGGATGCTGAAGGCTTCCGGGCCTTCTACGAGGCACTGCAGCTCAACCCGTGCCTTGATCCTATCCACACTTCAGGGCTTCGCGCCATGGAGGTCCAGAAGCATGCCGTCTACGAGGCAGTGAACAAGCCTTCCCTGGCACAGCACTTTGTTGGTTTGCACAACGAGTCGACCTTCGTGAAGACCGCCACCTACGGAGCTTTCGTCTGCTTCGAGCCGGCCTCTGAGGGAGGTCGAGGAGTCTGTTTCAACTCGTAGAGGGTCAGGTTACGTCAGGTTCACCATGTAAGCCCATCTAGGTTTACTGTAAGATACCTGCATGCAAATGCATGTATGCATGCATGTATGTATGTCTGCATGTATGTACAAATTCCGCGTACATGTGATATATATATATATATATATGGTCGCCCCCCCCCCGTTGACAGACCATGCCCTCTCAACTGAGTAGATGTGCATGGTGTGTCATCGGATGGGTGGCGATCAGCCCTCACAAACTCAATTCCAAAATTTCCAATATTCTCGCCCCTAACTTTCCGGATTTCCAAAAT